TTCAGTTTTCTGCTTGGATAGATGCTTTATTACTTGTATTTAGTTTGGAGAGTGAGGAAAGCTTCTCTATAGTTTGCAGTTTTTATAACAGAATGTGTTCATTTCGAAATATGTCAGAAGTACCAAAAATACTTGTGGGAGTTCAAGGTATACCTATTTCTTTCATATTTATGAAAATATTTGTTACTGGATGATTTTTTTTATCTTTACTGCGATATATATTAATGTCTTTGGTATTAAATGATATTTATTACATTATTTAGATTCAATTAATGATTCTAATCCCCGGGTTATAAAGGATATTAGACCAAGAAAATTGGCATGTGACTTGAGATGTCCTTATTATGAAACATGTGCTGTTTATGGTTTGAATGTTGAAAGAGTATTTCAAGATGGTAAATAGTTCAAAACAATTCCCAATATTACATACATGTTTAATTTTATTGTAAAATAATTCATAATGCAATAGTTTGTGTTAAGTTCGCAGTATATATCAACATTATTTATTTTTGTTGAATTATTTCTTGTATCATTACTATTATACTTCAGTGACTTTTGATGATTATTCTGAGAGTATTCTGAATATTACAGTGTGTCAGAAAATTATACAACATATATCTGCAAAACAGTATCGATGTAATGGACAACAAGCAATAGAGAATGAAATAAAGTATCCAGTTCCAATGATTGCCAAAAATACACAGCTTCTCACCAAAGAAATGGAAGCAACAAATTCCTCAAAATTAAATGTGAGTTATTATCTTCTCATAATATGTTGCATTAAAAGATTTGTATAATAATTTGCATTTGTCTAGGTATCTGATAAAGACGAAGACACTAGATCATTTCATCATAATTCTACCCAAAATGATTCTGGCATAATAAGTGATAATTTTCATAATACACAGAATCAACATGGAGATTTTAGATCCTCAATATTAACACCAACCACTATCAGGTTTAGTTTCTATAAAAATATATTATTTTTTTTAATTACGAAAGAAAAAATTGGACTTATCTTATTTTTGTAATGTAGGAAATTTAGAAGAAAGTCTAATATATTTACCCCATCGAAGAAGGAAAAATATAACATGGGTGAGATGGGTGTTGGTAGAGAAATACCTGTGAAACAAGGATATTTGTTTAAACGCAGTAGTAAATCCTTAAAAGAATGGAAAAAGAAATATGTTACATTGTTAGAAGATGGTCGTTTAACTTATCATTCTAGTTTACATGTAACTATCACGTAATTAAATATTTTTATAAAAATCAATCATTATGTTTAACAAATTTACATATGTTTCCAGGATTATATGAATGATACTAATGGTAAAGAAATATTATTACAATATGTAACCGTAAAAGTGCCTGGAAAAACGCCTAAAGGTTCTAAATCATCCAATGCTCAAGGTGCAAAAATATTTGTTTAAATTATCCTATATTTGAGATTCTAAATAAATTAATTTCATTTTATATATATCTTAATTCACAGAAGATAGTTTTGAATTTTCTATCATTTCATTAGAAAATAAGACATGGCATTTTGAAGCAAATAATGCCGAAGACAGAGATAGTTGGATTTCAGTTATAGAACAACAAATATTATCGAGTTTACAAAATAGCGATGGTGATAAAAAAAACGAAACTGATGCTTTCAAAATGCACTGTATAAAGAACAAAGTATCGGGAAATGATGCTTGTGTAGATTGTGGTGCAGCTAGTAAGTAGTTTACTTATAAATTTATTAGAATAATCTTTTTTTGAGTTTATTTTTAATATTCAATTTGTAATTCTATTCAATTTTAAATTGAATTTTATTTCATTTAGATCCAGACTGGGCTAGCTTAAATCTAGGTGTATTAATGTGCATTGAGTGCTCAGGAATACACAGAAATTTAGGTTCGCATATATCAAAAGTTCGATCTTTGGATTTAGATGATTGGTCGTAAGTGTGATAATTAGTCATATATTCTTGTATGTTTTGTCGTGTCAGTTTTTTGACATATGTAATAATGAAACAAAAATAACACACAACGAAAATAATAATGTTATAAATAAAAGATTTGTTTTTGAATATATTATTTTTGTTACATGTATAAATACGTATTTATTTTAATACTGCATGCTAACGTATATGCAGCATAAAATAGCTTTGACATTAATTTTAGCGCAGGTCAGTTAAGTGTAATGTTAGCCCTTGGTAATGATATAGCAAATAGCGTTTGGGAATATTGTTTGAATGGGAAACAGAAGCCAAATTCAGATTCTCCTAGAGAAGAGAAAGAACAATGGATCAGATGGAAATACGAAGATAAAATATTTTTACCACCAATTAATCCAAACATTTCTTTAGGAAAGTTGCTCATTGATTCGGTTTGCCGGTAAATATTCCTAGACTTTTGACTGTAGTGTGTTACTATATATTATATATATAATATATTATGTATACTATAATTTACTGTATTAAATGTAATGTAGGGGTGATATGAGAGCATTTACATTATGCTTAGCCAGATGTAGTTATGAAGATATTAATATGCCTGTCAGTATGGAAGATTTAAGAACGCCTTTGCATTTGGCTTGTGCCACAGGAAATTTAGCTATGGCACAACTTCTAATATGGGTGTGTATTTACTCTTGACTGATTATATATATATACACTGATTATAATTGGTCATATATTATATATTTATTACAATCGGTATGTATATTTTATAAAAATTAAATATGTATATATTATTGAATAATTACAGCATAAAGCAAATCCACAAAATTTAGACCATGAAGGACGTACATGTATGTCGTATGTACGAGCACTTGAAAGAACGCTTGACAATTCATCAGATTCTATGGAAATGCAGAAGCTTCTTGAAGTTCTTGAACAAGCTAGTATTTCTGGAGTAGATGATGTAGAAACTTCTCAGTATTAAAATTGTTTATATTATGTACTTATTGCATGCAAAGTCATGCTTAAAATAAGTTGATAATCATTAACAGTACTGATACTCAGAAAGACAACCAAAGTATGTTAAGTAAATTCGAAGCATTACAGTCTATTAGATAAAAGATTCACATTATATGTGACAATATATATCTTTTTAATGATGGCTATAAAATTCATAAAAAATTTGACCAGATATTTTAACAAATATAACATACTTTGCATATATATTTGTACATTGAAAAGTAGTTTGAATTAAGAGTATAATTCATATTACATATAAATATATATATTTAACAAGGTTTAGGTCAGTGAAAGTAATGTCTAATAGTAAATTGGAGTGTACATTATCAATGACTGAGAGTACAAACACTCATAAATCTAGTTATATTTATACTAAATACATTTAATGTATTTGGAAAATGCTTTTATAATTTTTATTTTATTAATTATGAATTAAACATGTAATTACCTCGCAGTATAATTGAATTATCTTTAATACCTGGCCAAATAAAATTTTGAATTTCGCTTGCTTCATCAAAATTTGTTGGAACTTTATTTAAATTTATTAGATGAACAAATTGCATTAATCACATGATATCCTTCACTTATTATACTTGAATCATCTAAAAAAAAAAAGTCATAAGAAGTTTTATGTATGTATTTTCCTAAATATCATATTTTTAGTCTATAAGATAGAATGATCTTACCTAATGGATATATATTCGTTGGAAAAATTGATAACTGGCTATAACATTTAATTGTTGTCAGTTTCGTTAATTTAGATTGAGATGAAAGTGAAATTCTTCTCAGACTTGGGATTCTAAAAATAATACATAATTATAGTTATGTAAAAATGATATGATAAAATATATGATAATGATATGATAAAATGATATAATAAACATTATATATTAAATTACTCATACATTAACTTACTCATTTAAATGATTTATTGCCGAAACAGGAAGGGGAAGTGTTAAAGTATAAATTTTATTTTGATGTATATCACAGCAACTTTGTATTGGTGATTTCTCATTGACATACTGTTTGAATGCACAGCAAAACAAAGTTTTTAAATCGTCATTTGAACATTCTAAATTATCTTGTATTAATAATATAAATTCCAAACATACATGAATTTGTACCAAATATAACAATCTTTTTCTAAAAATTTAAACGCACATATTTATGTATCTATATATAATAACAATGTAATATATCTTTATTACACATACCTATAAGTATTAACTGTAAACTCATTATAAGATACATTTTTTAATTTTTGTTGAACATCATGCAATTCACCAAATTTTATATTTGCTAAAATAGATATGTAATCTTTGCATAATTTTTCAAAACCCATATCTATAACATATTCTAATGGTAAACTACCCGATAATAGATGTGAAATTATTTTTTGCTGATGTGGATTGGTAATAATCTTAGCAAATTTTGTTGAATTTGTAAAATTGACCTAATATGTATCAATTAAAAACACCTGTTTTGAGACAAATTTAATACAAAATGTAAAATTGATTTTTTTCTTAAATATTTATATTATACCTGTGGCAAACAGTCATTTATTATAATTTCTTCAAGCACTGTATGAATACATTTTATCAGTTCAAAATAATTTGAATTTTCTGTAAGTATTAATTTATTTTAAATATTAATAAATATTGAAATATATATACAAAAATATTAAATAAGATATACTCACTTATCAATAATTCCCATAAAAAATCTGTAAAATCCAAATTGTATCTAAATGATAGGCTTTTTATACATTGATGGATTTTCATGTCATTTTCTATATTTTCTTCATTCGAAAAATTAGTTTTATGTTTCTTAGTATCACTAGTACTTCTAAAACTGTAATCTCCATTTAACAAAAGATTTAAACTGTTCAGTATTGTATCAAATTCCTATTTTAAGCAATTATAAAAATATAAAAACATAAAATTTAAAATGGCACATAAATATAAATACAAAAATTTTGAAATACCTCTTTATAGGGATTGATAAAATCATGTGGAAATTTTAAAGGAATTGAATTATAATGAGAATCTTCATCTTTTGCATAATTTTCCACTATATTCAAATATTGATTTAACAATAATAGTTGTTTCCACAATTCTTTTAAAGGACTATTATTTGAGTTTGTAGCAATTTGAGCAATCTAAACAAAATATGAAATAATTAGAAAGAAAGTATCTTCAATTTATTTTAGTTAATTATTCTTTTCTTACTAAAATATTTTTAGATGTTCTTGTGGATGTACTTGATAAACTACAGGTGTCTACTTCAACACTTAAACTCCCTTCAAAGTTACTTCCTACATTTTTATCTTTGCCAATTATTTCTTCTTTTGTTCCAAACAAATCAAAAACATTAAATGCAGAGACAATAATCTAGATATATAAATAAAATTAAATTACAAATATTTTATTATATTACAGAAGTTATTCATCAAAGAAGAATACTAACATCTTGCTCACTTGCATGTGAAAGTTCTAAGTGTTCTTGAAATATTTTAGAGGAACAGTTTTTAATAGTTTCAAAAGTTTCATTATCAACTGTAAAAGCTTCTATGGTCGTAAACCATTCTCCTTCAATCATTGCACCCAACAATTTGCTTTTCTTATGATCTTTGCTATCGCAAAGTGCAAATATTGGAGGAAAAGAATCATTTATGAAGTCAATACATACATTCAATACTATGCTGAAATGAGATTATACTTTAATATTACTAATTCTAGTTATACTGTAGAGATCATTCTTAATGTAATACCATGCTTCTGTTCTACTCAGTGGTAAATACTTTTCTTCTCCTTCATACCAATTTTGCTTTACCAAAATTGTGCTATCTTCAAAATCGTCCTCTCCTTTAAATGAATACTTCAAAGGCGATCCAGTGAGATCGAATTCTAAAATAATTGAACAATTTTTATAGTAACAGAAAAGAAATTTGATTATGTAAAGAACTTACGATTTGTTTCATCATTATCAGTACGTTTCGAACAATTATTAATAGACTCAGATGCCTAATAAAATAATAAAAAATATATTTACTAAAATTGTACTGTCCTAAAGACAAGATAAAAACTGCACAACATACTTCTTTGTACAAAATAAAATACGGCGTATGTTTGAACTCTGGAAAAATACGATTTATATATGACAAGGAAATATTATCTATCTTTACAGAAGGAGGCAAATTATTTCGCAACGTCTCAAGCATTATAACGATTAATTATAATTCAGACTCAAAGCGTAATTTATTCCATTCTATCTCGTAGAATTGTTCGAACGATATTTGAATTGCAATTTCAAACGTTATTTGAAATATTGCGTTCAACAATACATCGTAATTTAATATCGCTACGTTTCTATGTGCTGTTGTACGATTCCAAATTTCAATTTTCAAAATTTGATATTCAAGTAATACACATACATATCTGTCTGTCGTAAATATAATTTTTACTATGTAGTTAATAAAAACACGTATAACGTGTATGAATATATGGAAAGATAATATTTCGTCGACTTTTGGAACGGATGAAATATTCGTTGTTCCTTTAATCCACAAACAGGCCGTTTCGCGTTTGCGCTACTCGCAGTAGATGATATGTCAATACTTGTAATGTACGAAATCTTCGAAAAGAGTATGATGTCGTAGAAACAGACAAAGACACCCGGAAAATAATTGTAGTTAAGTATAGTGGTTAGGTTATGAAAAAATCGAGCAAATATTGGACAGGTGTGGGTAACATTTCAACGGTGTGTTTATCCGACGCAAAGAGGGACCGTGAGGACCTCGAAGACAGTCTTCCGAATTTTTACATGAAGGAACAAGACATTCCTGAATATTTGGAAGGCTGTGGGCTGACCACCTGTACAGCCGCCGATATGCCCGAGGACGTGGACGTCCTGCAGGACAATAAAGAGCAGACGAAGGAAAAAAAATTATCGTCCGCGTCCATAGCTGGACCCGACACCAAAAAGACGGTAACTGTCAAACATCCAGAATCGAATAAACCGAAGCCGACGACGAAAAAAGGCAAACCGTTACAGGCGGATCTAGACATCTCGAAAGAATTTATCAGATGTAGGGATGAATACCTGGAACGGTTGGATTTAAGTAAATCGAACATTACTCATCTGCCTAGCACGGTGCGGGACTTGACGCATTTAGTCGAGTTTTATCTCTACGGGAATAAACTCGTCACGTTGCCGCCAGAGATCGGTTGCCTTACGAATTTGGAAACGTTGGCACTGAGCGAGAATTCTCTGACAAGCTTGCCGAATACATTAGAGAATCTGAAGTCTTTGAGAGTCCTTGATTTAAGGCACAACAAACTGAGCGAAATACCCGATGTCGTGTACAAATTGACGAATCTCGCGACGTTGTTTTTACGCTTCAATCGGGTCCGATACGTAAGTGATGACATACGAAATTTAACGAATTTGACAACGTTGAGCCTGAGAGAGAACAAAATCAGAGAACTTCCTGCTGGTATTGGCAAATTGGTCAATTTAATAACATTCGATGTTTCTCACAATCATTTGGAACATTTGCCCGAAGAAATTGGGAATTGTGTCCAGTTGTCTACACTTGATTTACAACATAATGAGCTTCTCGATATTCCAGATACAATCGGGAATTTAGTCTCGTTAACAAGACTAGGGCTTAGATACAACAGATTAACTAGCATCCCAAAGTCTCTGGCAAATTGTAAACTAATGGATGAATTTAGCGTAGAAGGAAATCAAGTATCTCAATTACCAGATGGTCTTCTTGCGAGTCTTTCTGAGTTGACAACAATCACATTGTCCAGGAATGCTTTTACCGCATACCCATCAGGAGGACCAGCTCAGTTCACTAATGTTTACAACATCAATCTTGAGCACAATAAAATAGACAAAATACCTTATGGTATTTTTTCTAGAGCAAAAAACCTTGCAAAATTGAACATGAAAGAAAATCAATTGACTGCTTTACCATTGGATATTGGTACATGGGTCAATATGGTTGAATTGAATCTGGGTACAAATCAACTTACAAAGATTCCTGATGACATTCAATGCCTTCAAAATTTAGAAGTGTTGATACTTTCTAATAATTTATTGAAACGTATTCCTGCCAGCATAGCAAACTTGCGTAAACTCAGAGTGCTAGATCTTGAAGAAAATAAAATTGAATCTTTACCCAATGAAATTGGTTTTCTAAGGGACTTGCAGAAGCTAATTTTACAATCTAACCAGGTAACTTCATTGCCAAGGGCGATTGGTCATTTAACAAATTTAACATATTTGAGTGTTGGAGAAAATAATTTAAATTATTTACCTGAAGAAATTGGTACACTAGAAAATTTAGATTCACTTTATATAAATGACAATGCTAACTTACACAATTTGCCATTTGAATTAGCTTTATGCACAAATCTCAGTATTATGTCAATTGAAAATTGTCCACTTTCTCAAATACCACCAGAAATAGTTGCAGGAGGACCTTCATTAGTGATCCAGTTTTTAAAAATGCAAGGACCTTATCGATCCATGTAACAAAATTAAAAAAAGATTATTTCTTGTATAATTTAGATGTCGATTCTTAATAAGAGTGATATAAGCAAATGATATTTGATACCAATATTTATTAATATTACATTCTCACTGTAATGATTTCACGTGAATAAAAATTATATAAATATTATGGATATATAATATATGAAAATGTGGATATATGATATATGAAATTGTGCATATATTTGTATTCTCATAAGATAAATAATTAATAATCACATGTCTGCGATACATTTTCAATATGAAAAAAAAGAAACATATAAAATATTGTAAAATTGGTGCTGATTTGAAAATATGCACAACAAATAATAGAGCTACAAAAGAATAAAGTCATAATGAAGTATTTTAAATATAGTAATAATATAAATTATACTCACACTTTATTAATATAATATATGTAGTTTTACGATATTTTATTCATTTATTCAGTTCATTTTATGTATATTATTTATAGTTATAGAATGTAATATATCTTAATTTGCATGCAATATACTATTTTACCATTTTACATTATAGTATGCATTACAGAAGTTAATATCTAGTATTTAAATACATCATAGAAGATTCATTAAATTCACAGGTTTGTTACATGGAAATACTATTTTTAGAGATATAATTATTATTTTTAGAATTTACTATAAAGTAAATTATAATGGAATAAGATAACATTATTCAATTGAATATAATTAAGAATCGGCATCAATAATTTTACATTTTAGTTATTGCTATTCATTGCCATACAAACAAGATATTTTGATGAAAAAATTTTTAGTGATAAGTTTATCTTGTATTATAGTGTGAAAGTATATACTATTAGTTATTTTATGTTATATTATAGGAGCTTCAATTGAGAGGTTTTACAAGAAACCACTCTTCCAAAATGCAAAAAATATCTATTTATATAATTTAGCATACTATAATGAATAATGTATTATTTTTTTATTTTTAAGACTAAACATAGACAGTTTTATATTTAAACATTCTGAACAACTATAAAAAAATATATTTTTTTCACATTTATTGAATAAATTGCAAAATAAATTGCAATATTCAATGGCAATTATAATATACATTTATCTATACCTGTGTATACTTACAGAAGAGTTAAAATTTATGCCATTTTTTAATTAATGTACCAATTAGTGCAATTAAAATTTTTAATTGAATCATTAGTATGCTCTCATCAGATGAAGGAGCTGCCAAATATAAGCATTCTATTATCTACTTTTAATATCATGTTATTATAAGATCAGTTTTTGCTAAGTTCCATATATGCTAGCTTTTGAAATTAAAAAACTAAGTATTTTCATTGATTATAAAATTTTTATCTTTTCTTTGCACAAAAATGTAGTGCCAATATCAATTACAAACATTATTATATGTATATATGTTTTATATTGAATTCATAATTGTAACAGTTGATTGGACTTTATTTATAGCCAACAATATATTGATTTTTTAAAACATGTTATATGTTCTTACGCTCATATACCTGATATCATTTTGTTCAATTAATGTACTAATAATGCAATCATCAATTGCAAGCAAAAATTCAATTTATAATCTATTTTATTTTTATTATGCAATGGCTGTGCAATAAGAAATTAAATAATTAGCACAATTTATTTGTATTAATTGTGATTCAAAATAATATTATATTAATATATTGTAAGTTAGCAAGCACATATTTTGTATCCTTTAATTAGTGTTATTTCAATATATTGTAGGCATTGACTATATATTTGTTAATCAACAAAGATTATAAGTGTGAAACATTGTTGTGTGTGATATAAGTGAATACTACTATTCATAGATCCTACTTCAATTTTATTAAATTATAATACTTTACAAATGGAAATAAAAAATTAGTAATTTTGAGAATTATTAAACTTATTAAATGGAACTTAGTAAACTTTTAATTATAATTAAGAGAAAGTATATCTATTCTGTATTACTCATTGACATAAATGTATGATTTATTATGTGTCTACATAATTTTTCTATACTAGTTCTGTTTCAACTACAATGTCATGTAACGTATTTATATTAAACTTTGTCTTTCAAAGTTCTACAATTTGTCCATGAAATAAAGACCGATAATAATATTGTACAAGTAAGATTTTATCTAACTTGATGTTAAAATTTTTTTTTTTATGCAATAACAAATTTTGTAGATGACATCACTAATGTAAGTTTTATGCTATTAAATAATAACTTATAAATTAATTGAAGTTACAGATATCAATGTCAATTTATAAATTTCATGTCAAATTGCTTATCTTTGTATTATCTATCTTTATGTTATAAACAATACTAGTGTATATAATTTACAAAATATCATACATTTACCTTCTTTATTAAAGGAATATACAAAATGTTATTTAAAATTAAAATATTATTTTCTTTTAACAATATATGTGTATGTTTAACACACATTGAAATATTAAATGAATATCAGAATATATGTAAAAGTTGCCAAAAGGAATGCTACAATACAAATTGTTGTGATAAACTGTTCAACAGTTTTAAAATACGTAAGTAATACTATAGTATAATTGGAAAATGATTAAATTTGTATGGAAACTTAAAATAAATTACTTCTGAAATTATAATCTTGTTGAATAGTCTATCAAATGCAACATTATGTATATAATTTTAAAATGATATTAATGTAATTTTATATGACTATATAGGATGCTGTATATTTCTAAATATATGAATATAATATAAACATATTTGGAATTCTGATTTTGTTACAATTGTTTAATACTGAAATTAATTTGTAGAAAAGCTTTATTAATATTTTTCGTAATACAATTATACTGCATTATTTTCAAAAAATGAAGTACTTTTACAAATACATTAATTCAATTCTCTCATCCCGAATTCCTTACACTTTTTTTCAAACTTAAGGGAAATAAGACTTCGTTTTTTCATAATAAATCTTCCAAATTTTATATGTTTGGTGTTATAATGCTGTAATTGAAAATATAATGAAAAATGCAATTTCATAAATCATATAACAAATAATAGCTATATTACATAGATACCTCTTTAGATTTCTCGATAATTTTAGATGAAGAAGATAGTTTATTTTCAGTTAAAATATTATCACGAAAATTAAATTTTTTAAACAATTTTGCACTCGTAAATCCTTCGATCATATTCGTACTTAATTTCCGATTTGTCATTATATTACATGTATTCAAAACATTTTCCGATGTAGTTATTAATCTAAAATTAATATATATAAATCAATATAAATCATTTCTTCTAAATTGGAAATAGTAAAGTAATATCTATGAATTTGATAATACTTTAAGAGTTCTGCCATTTCTTCCGAAAAGGATTTTAAATTATCCAAAGTAGATTTACAATGTCTTAACTCAGTTTCTGTATTTTTGTTACAAATAAGCATTATCTCGTTATTGATAATATTAATTTCGTCTTTTAATTTCAATATTTCATCACATATATCGATTTTACTTGAATTTTTATCAATTATAGTACTATATTTACATTCGTGACGTTCATTTATTTTTGTAATATCAGGATTTGGATTGAAAAAAGAATTAAAATTATGTCTCAAGGAAAAATTCCAAATTTCATTACAAAATTTATCTTCGGTAATCCATACTTTGTAATTTGTATTATCCTTTAAAGTAAAACAACGTTAAAATAAATGTAAAGCAAATGTGTAAATAAATAAATAAATATATATATGTATGTATGTATGTATTATGTATGTATGTATGTATGCTTATACATACACACAGCATATATATATATATATATATGTAAATACTTAATAAACAAAATCCAAAATCAATAATGTACCAAATCTTTATATTTTTCTTTGAGTATTTCTTTTTTGAGTTCAAGGATGTTAGTTTTTGTACTTAAAATGTGTCTAATAATCTGTAGTTCTGTACTCTTATTAATATACTCCATCAAATGTAAATCGTACTCTTCTTTATTTAAAGAAATCATGATTTCTTAATGAAATACATGCGAGTGTATGCATGTTAATTCATAACAAAAACTTATTTGTTAGTTAAATCTGTATTGTATACGTATTGTTCACAAATGATTATGAATAATATATGTATGTACTGACATCAATTAAGGATGTTGGTTTTTTTAAAAAAGACATCTGAAAATATATATTTACTGTAATTCATTTCATAAATTGATTTGTATATATATACGCGCGCGCGCGCACACACACACACACACAACATAAATTATATATCTATATATATCTGAAATCAAAGAATTTTATATTTTTTTCTTTTCCTTTCAATCCATGGTACCATATACAACGTCTGATTGGTGGTTTCTATTAAAGCATTTTCAAATAACCTATCGTGTACCTTCAAAAGCAATTACGCTTATGGCGTGTTGGAAGCTTGTCCAGTGAAGTAACCTATTTCGCATGTAAACAAACATTTAAATCATATTTGTGATCGGATATGAACTATTAACGAATTAAATATTATAAAGTATGAAAATAAATATAACATGAGTTCAAACGGGCTAAAAGTATTAAAGAAAAAGTTAGTATAGAATTGAAAAGTTTAGTGAAAAATTCCTTTATTTCTCAATCATTTTACTAATTTGTTTCTCATAAAATTGTTATTAATTGCATAAATTGAAGGATAATGGATAATATAACGATATATACATATAATTGATTCATTATTTTACATTTACAGCAGCAATTCTTGTCCACAAAAAGTACGATGTCAAAAATGTCTAGAAATGGGACATTGGAGTTATGAATGTAAAGGGAAACGAAAATATTTACATAGATCTTCGCGTACAACACAGTTGAAGAGAGCTTTGCAAAAGCAACAAGAATCTAATGGGTAATATTGTAAAAAGTAATTAAATCATTAAATTTCAAGATTTAAGGATTCATAATATTAAATTATACATATTTACAGTGAAGAACAGAAGAAAGAAGTAAAGAAGAGTCGTTTACAAAAAAAAATGAAAGGAAAATCTAGTAGTTCCAGCACTGATAGCAGCAGTTCCAGTAGTAGTAATGATAGCAGTAGTAGTAGCTCATCTTCAGACAGTGAATCAGATTCTACTGATAGTGTTTCTAGTAGTAGCAGCGGTAGCAGTAGTAGTAGCAGTAGTAGCAGCAGTAGTAGCAGTAGTAAAAGTAGCAATCATTCTAACAATTTTCTATTTTCAAAAAAGACATCCTAACTAAATAATTCTAGATAAAAAATAAAAAAAACCTTATGACATAATCATTTTTTAAATATTTGTGAAATACTTTATCGATTCATGCATATTAATAAAAATATGTATAATAATTTTGTTGTAAAAAATTAAGATAACTAAAGTACTTATCTGTAACATATCTTTTAAATATATTTTAAATAATTTATATAACACGGCTTATAATAGGAATTTTATTATTTCTATTATACCCTCCTAGTTATATCTGGTATTTATAAGTGAAAGAGATCGTAATTTTGTACTAATAACTTTTTCATAAATTAAGGAGTATTTGTTACAAAATCAAAAGCGTAAAATATAAATATTAAGGAATTGATAAAAATAATTTTTTATTGAACTATTCGTAATATAATTCGTTGTGAAAAATTTATGTTTATATGATAATATGCTGTAAATAAAATTACGATTGTATTCTTATTATTTCAGTGTTTGATTAGTCATCAATTCCTTCAGGAAGCGTTTGTATTATTACTTTTCTCTTTGAATCATAAAGGAAATTATTTGATTTGAAAATGTCACTTTCATAAAATGAATGGAGATTGTATATATCGATTTGTTTAGCCTAAAATAAAATGATGATTTTAATATAATGAGATTTATAAATTTATGGCAGAAAAAAAATAGATAATACATACTCGATCCAATAAATCTTTTTCTGAAATTTCAATCGTTGTAATACGACTTCCACGTATTGCTTTTTGAAATGCTAAAGTATCTAATGTAAGTTGTCTAAGTATATAATATAGAAGTTCACTGTGATCTTTTTTATATGATAGATATTTCTGGAATGTCTAAAAAAAATAGTAGTATTTGTTATAGTTTCAATAAAATCATTCATTGTTGTTTATGATCATTAGACATACCTGGCGCATACTTTTCATTACTGAATATTTCTGTGTATCAACAAAACTATCAAGCATCATTCTGATGGCAAGATTAATATCACCTTCTTGAACATGATCACGTAAATGTATTTTAGCGCTTGCTTCAGCCATACGTATAATGCTTTCTATATGTCGTACAGTAATTGGTAAACTTCCAGTAGCCTATTAATTGTCAGAATAAAGTTATATTATAATATGAGAATTATAAATTAATTATAATTAAACTTTTAACTTACCAAACTCTCTTGTCTTAATTGACTGTATAATTTTGCTACTTTATCTTGATCAATGTTTGTTAACTTAGGATGAATATTTTGTCGCGCGTAAACTATATATTTTTTTAAAAGATCTTGTGGAATAGATATATCATTTGTATTTTCTTGTACTGATGTTACTTTTCCTGTATTTGATGGATGATGTTTGATATGAGAATTTACAACAAATTTAGCCAAATGTCGGTCTTGCATAGGATCTATTTCATCTTTTACTACACAAAGAATATCAAAACGAGACAGAATTGGTTCTGATAAATCTACCTAATTAAAAAAATTATAACATAATTATAACTTGCATGAATATATATAAATATATGTACACTTCTTTATTTTATGTTATATCTTACGTTTTCTGAAAATGTCATACTAGCATCATATCTGCCTCCAATGGGATTGGATGCAGCTATTACTGAACACCTAGCATTAAGTGATGTGACTATTCCCACTTTTGAAATAGAAATACTTTGTTGTTCCATAGCTTCGTGAATAGATGTTCTATCTTGATCATTCATCTAGAAATACAATAATAATTATATGTCATTATAAACATTTTATACAAAATATACCTTATCGAATTCGTCAATAAGACAAATTCCTTGGTCAGCAAGAACCAAAGCACCAGCTTCTAATGTCCACTCTCGTGTAGTTGGTGACCTTCGCACAAAAGCAGTCAATCCCACAGCTGAAGCTCCTTGACCTGTTGCAAATACTGATCTTGGTGCAATTTTTTCAATATATTTTAAGAATTGAGATTTAGCTGTGCCTGGATCTCCACATAATAATACATTAATGTCTCCTCTTACTTTATGTTTGTTACCTATGTTATTATATTTTTATTGAATAGTATTCTTGAAATACATACAAAATAGTTAGAAATGAAAATACCAGGATTTTTTGATTCTCCTCCAAAAATCGCTAAAGCTAAAGCTCTTTTTATGTATTCATGGCTATAAATTGAAGGCGCAATACTTGCAACAATGCGATCCATAATTTGATGATCTTTACTTAAACTAATAATAGAAGAAATATCTTCTTCAGTTAAAGATTCTACAATTTCCTTTGAATCTTTCACTATTAAATGATTAGCAAGAAGAACCGTTGCAAATACAGGAAAACCCTTAAACACGAAATAAATATTAATTAATTAATATAAAATTCTGAAATAATTACAGGTAAATATTTTTTACCTGCTCTGTGTTCAAAGAACCATCGTAATTATTTGTATAAATAGCAGTAACGTCTACTTCATCTCCAGGTTTACAACGATCACAGAGATCTGATAGAAGAATACATTCTTTGCTTCTAGGTATTCTTCCTGCAGGAATTTTACCTGGTGATTCTTGAATTGTAATTTTTTGGTAATTTCTGTATATTGTTTGTTCCATGTTAATCTGTAATTAGTTTTACTAGTTACTTACTTATATTTATAGATTTTACTTATATATTGCATGTATAAATAACATTATTTAACATTTATACTTACCATAAAAGGTCCAATGCTTTGACATTCAGGACATGAGCCCGGCTTAACTTCGGTATTTTGATTTTGTACAAAAGGACCAAGTACATATCCACATTTTGTACAATCATATTTTACAACAGATAATTGTGGAAGTACTCCTGTAGTTGCAGTGACAACTCCTAGAGTACGTACTAGTTGATTCAAATGTAACTTCCTAATTTTTATCATAAACGATATATAATATTTTTAAAGAGTAAACCATTTTTCTCAATATATAACTATATTTTACCTAAACGTGCGAATTTCTTCTATTAATGGTAGCTCTGATATTCTGACATGAATTTCACCAGTAACTCTTTCATAGCTGGGAAATATATTTAATACTAATTCTTTTGCAACTTCATCAAATATTTCTAACATTTGAAATGGTGCTTCTGGTAGGAAATAAGCCAAAACATGTTCTTTACTAGCAAGAATAGGAAATTCCACAACAAAGCTAGACTATTAAAAAATAATATAAGTATTTTACGTCTTAACACGAGGATTATTAGTATTAATAATATAAAAATATTACTTGGTTACTCTCACACATATGACGAATTCGTTCTTTATACATATATTGTCCTTTTGAATTAGTATGTGTACGAAGAAAACTTTTAAAACGATTGGAAATTTCAGTTTTTGGCCCTAACATAGATACCCACTCTTTGATTGAATGACCTTTTGTATCTTCTAAATTCTCAATTGATTCAATCATCTATGATAAAAATAAATATTATTATTAATATAATAGAATACATTTTATAATAAAAGAAAAAATCTTACCTCTATATCTTCAATTTCACCCACTGCTGCTTTTTCAGCCATACGTCTCTTACGAGCTTGTGTTTCTTCTTCATCACTTTCATCTTGAATATTTCAAAGATATATTACAATATATTTGAAAAAAGATATATTAATTGTTACAGAAGCTGGACTATACCATAGAGTAAATATCTATCATCTCTAATAATTCCTGCTGCTCTGTCTCTTTTAAGCATAGCAGTTTCAGCAGCTACACGTTCTCCTTGAGACATTTCTGAATATTCTTCATCATCCACTACATCTGGATCATACCTATCTAATGCTGGCATAGGACGATAATCACTGAAATATCATCTAAAATTTAATACACGTATGATTTTTTTTGGATACAAAAAAATTTTGAAAACTTTACGCTTCCATATTGTCTCCAAATAATTCTTCTCCTTCTTCTTCTTCTTCTTCCTGATTAACATCATTATCATTACCAAGTAAATCAGCTTCATCCTCAAATGGTTCATCTATGTCAGGTGCAGGAGATGTCATTGCCTCTGTATGTCTATCAGAGCGTGCTGGGCTGCTAGAATCCTAAAAAAAAATACAATTAGAAGATTTAGAAGAAAATAATACAAAAAATAGAATAATATATGGAAAAAAAAGAAATATGCTAGAATTTAAACTAATGTATACATTTGTAATAAAAAAATTACTACAATTTCTAATATCTTACCATTGTATTTGTGTTAAAAGAATTAGAATGCAATAACAATTAAATAAATTCGTGTATGTAGATACAAAATAGATCTCAAATAACACTTTCTTTGTCCTGTTTTCAGACTTAAACCAAAAAGTAAGAATTGGCGGGAATTTCCTTTAGATCATACTTATTACCAACAATTCTCAATAAATAACTATAACCAACCAATAGTAGAAACTCTTTACAGGAAATGAAGGCAACCATATTAGGCACCAAATCAATCGTATATATTTTTATTAATTACAATTACTTTGACATAAATTTTACTAGTACAAAGATACATTTACAATTACAAACTTAATAATTTTTTTTAATAAAAATATAACTAATAACCTAACAAGACAAAATGACAGAATTTTTAGGGTCATTTGTTGAGCAAGAAGTGTGTTTTAAAAAGTATAAAGATTGTAATTTATCTACTACAGAAGTAATTTCTGCTTGTATATTTGCTGCTCTCACAACAAGATAAAGAGATTCTTGAAAACGTTTTTGTGCAATTCTTAAACTCTGTGGAACCAATACTCCAAACCATTTTATAGGATCTTGAATCTCATCTCTATTATCTGACTTCTTCAAGCTTATGTCAAAATTTGGGACTATTTTACCAGTTTCCTCAGTTAATTTTGTCTCTAATTCGAAGAGTGTGACTACTCTTTCATCTTCAATAGGAACCTGTAAAACACTTATGCTTTCCTTGCCTCGTATGTACTTAGCCTTAGCTAATTCAATGTAACCATCACGTAATATTTTTTCCATTTGTACATTGACATCAATTTTTTCTTGCATTAACTCCAAATTACGCAATAAATTTTCATCAATAGCTTTACATATGTCATCTATACTTTCATGCATATTGTCTGCTATTATTATCTCTTAATACAAAAGATATTTGTCACAATATACAATATTATATCTAGAATATATAAAAATATAATATAAAATACATATCATATCACATACTTTTTATTATAATTTTATTAATAACAATAATATTTGTTAAATTCATACATTTTTATTTACTACATACCAAATATGAAAGTTATTCCTTTTTATAAATAATTAATTTGATAAAGAAATATAATTTATTTATATTATCTTTTTTGAAGTAGTATCATTTGTAGTATATATGGACACAATTTTCTAAAGCTATGAAGATTGTAGAACATTTGGCTACACTGCTGCACTGCTTACAACGCTATTAACCGAAGGTTATGTATTCCAAATTTTAACACATCGTATAATTTTAGAAATACTAACAATGGCTGTTAAAGAGAAACAAACAGACGCTATCGATGAAATAGAATGGAATGTTGAAAATGAAATTCAATTATTCTTTGCTATGAATGGACATAAACCTGTTGGTAAGTCTTTCAATTCATATGACATCTAGGTTATTTATATTAGTAACAAAAGTAATAGTTAATATTTTTATGCAAAAGATATATGTTCATGTAAAGGAAATGTAATTATTCAGTTAGATTTAATAAAATGTTCTTTTTTAAAGGTATTAATAAATACTTTCATATGATCTGCATATGGGAAAAATTTCGTGCTGCCATTCACAAAGATGTATCATTAAAAACGATTTGGGAACATTTAGAATCAATGTATGATCTAATGGCTCTGGTACTTATTATTACATTTTAAAAAAACTTAATATTGTTTAAAGTAATATTGATAATCTATTTTATATTATTTTAGGATGATATGGAGGATTTACCATTTCCTAGTCAAGAGGTAGATTTTTCTTTACCAGAGCAAGAGTTTTTAGGACCACTTAAATGTCGAAAAAGAGAGGAGCCAGAATTAAAACTAAAAGAACAAAGGGAAAAATTTAAGGAATTTAAGAAAGAGAAAGATATTAAAGATCCTATGAAAAAAGACACTGTCCTTCGTGATCTTAAAGGAAGTAAAGATATTGATAAAAAAAAAGAAGAATTTAAAAAATATGTCAAAGATATAGAACTAAAAAAAGATAAGCTTAGAGAAATTAAAGATGTTAGGAAAGACTACAAATCTTCTAAAGGACGATCAAAAGGAAAGGATGATTTCGAAGAAGCAGGTAGATGTGACATATCAAGATTTGTCTTGATATTTTCAATATATATATGTTTAAATAACTACATTTCTTTGTTTAGCATTCAATGGTAAAAAGGAACGTAAAGATTCCGATTCTGGTCGCGAAAGTTTAAAAAGAGGTCCAAAAAGACCAACTAGACAAAGTATGGATAGTACATCTAAGGCATCTTCCAGTCCACGAAATACGCCTCCACCAAAACGAAGAAGAATATAACAATTTGCTTGAAATTGTTTGTATTTCACATTGTGTATAAACATTGTTTACATTTTCATGTATGAACAAAATGTGAATCATGTATTTTTTTATAGACAAACTACACGAAAACTTATATGAGAATATTTAAAATTCAATTTTATAGAAAATTTTATATTAAATTGCTGTAAATATAATATTCTGTAATAACAGAAAACTACTCTGAATGTATAAGAATTGTACATATGTTTTTTTCGTAAAGAAAATGAATATAACTTAAATCAATATGATTTATTGAATAAAATGGTTGTAATCTAGATATAATGGTTGTAATTATTGCAGAATCAAATGTTTTGTGAAAATATGATACACAAAATAAAATACTCAAATATCAGCCAGTATTTATTATAAAAATTGTAGACATCTTCACTGACATGGACGTTTGAAACCAACTTTGCTCGTACCATTGGAATTATTCATCTTCATTTTTATTGATGGAATGAATTAGAGTCCAGATATTATTTAGTTGATATCTTCATGCCGGCAATAAATTCTTCCTATGTATTTATCGAAGTCTTCTTGCTTCACGTTCAGATTCCAATAAGGTTAAGAGATCACCTTCTCGTACTGGGCCTTTTACATTCCTGATAATTTGTCGATTTTGTTCGCCCAGAAATTCGACTTTTACTTGTGTACATTGTCCTTGCGAACCAGTCCTACCTAGGACTTTTATAACACGAGCCAAAACTACTGGTTTATCCATGATTTTCAGGCCTCACGTGGCTTTGATGCGACAGTGAAGAAACGTTCTACGGAAGTGAAAGAGCTTTTGTCACTTTATAATCCAGCAAAGATGGCAACTTCCGGCAGGCTTTTCCAGCAGTATTATCGAATTCAATATATAGAATTTAAAATAATAATGGATAATGTAAAAGAAATATCTCTATAGTTAATGATGTAGAACATATATTTTGTAAAGATAAGAGTTATTTATTTTAAACATAAATAATTAATGTAATCTATCTATTAATGTATAATAGATGGCATCCTGGATTTAAGCGTGTCCTTAACGTTTTCAAATGCAACGAAAAGAATAATGAAAATGTTACTAATCTAAGATTATTTTACTTAAACATCATAGAACTTTTAAAAATTGATTGATTGCTCAATTAGTATTCAAGCTTTATAAATTATAAATTATTATAAATTATATATTATAATATATAATTATATATTAATATTATAAATTTCTCATATTTTGACAACTTGTATTTGTACTTATATATGTGTTAAATTTTCTCAATGCAAGGTCTAATTGTTCTTGGTTTAATTTGAATCATATGATAGTTCATTCTTATTTATAATATGAAAACAAATTTTTACATTTATATCATGCATTTTATTTTCAACTGCATGATCAATATATTATTTAATAAGGAAATTTAATACAATAAAACATAAACGTGACAGATATGTTTAAAACTTATTGTTTTCGATATTTATCATATTATAAATATATAACTTCTCAACAAGCAAATATGCAATTACTTTAATTAATTATCATCAAACAATCAATATTAAAATATTATCATAATTAAAATATTTCAACTATAATATTTCAACTATAATATGCATAAAATTTGAAATTATAAGTTTCTGTAGTACTAGGAGAATCAAGATGTAGATAATATGTTCAGTTTGTTAAGTCTCTGCCTTAAATTAACAAAAACACTAAATGCATTTTGGTAAGAAGTATTAATAATACTTGCTCAAGAATATTAAAGTCTAAAATGTTCTTTAATCTATAATCAACGTTGCAGTTTAGTATTCTAAGCAACACACTACTCAAGTACAAACAATATTATAGCTAACTTTTTAAACACAAAAACAGATTTTTTTTCAGTTTTTACATAATTCAATATGCAATTGTAAATAAGTCAATATTAATAGAATAATATAAGTCAATAATACATAAAAGTAACTATTATCAAACATTTAAAACGTTTAATACATTTTGATTGCATACAAAAATTGCAACATTATGCTAAAAAATAAGTCTGCTTTCAAAATGAGAAGTTACTTTTTAAGTAATTTAGCCTTTATACAATTTATCAAAGAACTTTAATACTCCGTGAAAACTGTTATATATCTGATTTTTCTTTATATTTCGGGGTAAAAATGAACTATATCGCAAAATACGCTTATTGTACTAAAGATGCTTGTACTTGTTTAAGTATAATGAAATTTTTTGCTATAATGAAAGTGGACCCTGACATACATTCGTCATGATTATAAAAGCACCCATTTTTAGCAAATAATACAATTACATTGTCAAATACATATATACTGTACGTCACGAATAACTCTTCACAATCAGTCAAAAATTCGTTTTTATTTGTAGTTCCCATTTTTCCAACAATAATGTTGAAAGCTAGCAAAGCTTTAAAAGAAAAACTTTTTAAGCTCAAAATACTGTATTCATTTATGAATTATTTTTCGAGAATGACAGTATTCGAGTACTCTCTGTTTGTGTCTTTGTTGTGTTATATCCCAGAGCAATTTCCACTTTAATGTGGAAATATAATCATATTGGATAACGAACATTCGACACTAGTGTACAACACTGAATGGAATAATCAATCAACTAATAATATTCATAAAACTTTTACTGCCATAAATTGGTGGAAAGTGTTTGTCCGGGAAGTCCAGTTGTAGCAGTAGATTTTCCTGGAGTATTCGAAAAATTCGTGCCACCTAAAGACAACTGCGCCATTTGTTGTGGTAACTGAAATATAAATATAGCAATCAATGTTATTAGAAAAATTTATATTATATATAAGTAATTTATTATTTGTATACCTGAGAGCCAAATGCAACAGATTGTTGCTGTTGTTGAGACGTTAAATTAAAAAAAGGATTATTACCAGGAGCTGGTTGAAGATTTTGTGTTAACATTCCACTCCAACCATTATTACTATTAATATTAGACTGTCCTAACTGCATCACCTAATAATACGAAATACTTAGTCTATCAACAAATAACTCCTAGTATGTCATACACAAATTTATGTACCATTTGGGATTGCATTGTAATGGCAGGATTAGGTACACCATTCATCTGATTTATCTGACCTACATGTATACAGTTTCCTAAGGAATTTGATGCCACTGGTCCTAATGAAGCAGAATTCACTGTAATTTGATTCTGACTGATAGGTAATTGATTAGATGTAACAGACATCTGAGTGGAAAGTTGATTAAGTTGAGTTAAGGAATTTTGTTGGTTTGGAAAACTAGTTTGTTGACCAAATGGTACCAGGGCTGGTATTTGTTTATACTGTACGTTAGACTGTTGAGCATACATTCCGCCTAAAACATGAAATAACAAAAATTGTACAAAAATAATTCAAATATAATAATATGTTTAAAGTAATAAATATACCAGGAACTGCAAACATTGTTGATTGTTGATTACTTGATGTACCATACAAGGCTAAAATACTGTCTTTGGACATTTTATTTTTTTCTTGAGGTGATGGTGCTGATTGATCGAAAAAACTTTCTTCTTCACTTTTACTAACAGTTGTTGATGCATTTGTTGTGGTATTAGAAATACTACTATTTGTTGAAGATACTGAAGCTGGAGGTGCAGATAAAAAAGAAGAAAATATGTCATCTCCAGCACCATTCATGTTTGTTTGATTTGTTGTTGGAGCATCTGTTGAAAGTGTATATATTTTTAGAAGTATCTGTTATACTTAATATCATTACTGAAATGCAAGAGAAATATACCTAAGCCTAATAAGTCTAGAGTTGCAGAATTAGTTGCTCTATTAGGTTTAGGACTGATAGAACTTTTAGGTTTTGGCAACTGAGGCACTACTTCTGGTTTTTTTACAGGTGGAAGTATAGCTTGATTATTCGAAGTTTTAGAATTTTCCTTTTTTCTTCTACGTTGTCTTTCTGCTTCTTCATCAAGCTCTTTATCCCAATTAACCTACATATTTATTAAATAATTTATTTGTATTTGAACTTTTAATATACTTCAAACATAGTTGATTTTTCAAAACTTTATTGTTTATTTTTCAAAACAAAAAAATTATTACCTTTGGCAAAGGAGGTGGCACCCATTCTCTGGCTATATACTTTTTATGTTCATATTTTGCACGAATAAAACTTTCAAGACTACAGACTGTTTGAGGTCTTCGAAAACTATCGGGAAGATTTGCTTCATAAACTGCTCTTGCACGGGAGTTGCCCATTTGTTGTAAACTCTAAAAATAAGAATATGACATTAGTAGTTTGCATTATAAATAATACTTACAGTTAAAACTTTTAGAATTCAAAAATATAGCTATAAACATACCACTACTTGTTCTGGCGTCCATGTGTCCAAATTAACAGATTTTACTTTGCTTATGTGAACCCCAAGATTTCTGTGTATTCCAGCACAACGAATACACAAAAATATACCTAAATTCCAACTAGCCCACCGTGGTCCTAAGAAACGTACATAAATGTAAAGCTAGCACATATAATAAAAGAACATATTTGTACTTTATTTTTATACTTAACAATGTACATAAGAAAATATGTCATAAAATTTTATTTGGACAGTAAATTGTAAAATTGTACAGTAAGGAAAGTAAAATTTTATAGAAAGTCTATAGAAATTCTATAAAAATTTTAAGCAGTTAACAAAGTTAAAAAATTCAACTTATTTATTGATACGCAATGGTAAGGAATGAAAAATGGTATATATGAAAAGTTATTTATTAGCAATTCACACAGATAAAAGTATATAAGTACACGAGTGAATAATAATGAAGAAATCACGGTGACGTTTACTTGTAATCGCTGTCATCTAAAGTTCTGTCATTGAAGAATTAAAAATCTATAATGTCTTACTAAGCGAAACTAGGTCGTTTTCAAATCAATATCGATGACATGGATGCACTGTTATGTATAAAAATGCAATTTTGCGATATTCGCAAGGAACGAATGGAATAATGGGGGTTCGTTGGTCGAATAGAAACAAGACATCGTTAAAAAATATACAATTGATGCACGAACCTTTTGCATCGCAGTCGACACAATATTTATTATCCTCATCGCGTAACATTTCTATCAAAAGATTTTGACATTTCTCTTGTATTTGCTTGGAACGTTCTTTTTCTAGACGGGACGTCATTTTTGTACAGTGACGAGTTTTGCTGCACACAGGTTCAAAACAATGTTTCCTTCTTACAATGCAATGCTGGACACATACGAGAGCCGTCAAGTAGTATGTAGTAATGGTCAGCGAACGCCCCCAATAGTTAAATTCGTTACTCACAGAAACGTCATGTAGTTGAAAGAATTCTATTGGATTCTATATATTCCAATATCTGAAACGAAATAACGAGTAGATCCTCAGCGATTCTAACATTTATATCGATTCTAACATTTATTTCTATCTATCGATATTTTTAGAATTGTATAGTCAGATACACAACTCAGATGAACAAGTGCTCTATTGCTCCATCGATAAGCCACGTAATCAATTCGTACGTACGAATGTATGAACTCAGCATTATAACACAACAATATATATATAATCATTGACTAATAGGATAGACCGGACATCCAATGCTTTTTCGTGTTCTACGTTTTAGGGGTCATCATCTTTTTCATGTCACATCCTGTCATATCGACTTAGGCAAGTATTGCTCTAGCGCTATAAGCGGTAGAAATTAAAATAAAAAAATATAGAAAATATTGCCGTTTCCTCATCGAAAATTACATATTTCTTGAATTGAATCCGGTGACACTATTTCAAGTAAACATACATATGTATACATACAATAATCGTAATAAATGAATGCGAATTTAGACATGAAGCTCTATCATCGTACAGTGTGATTTTTCACAAAAGTGCATTGTTTTTTAATGAATCTCTACGACTTTTTTTCTACAATTGAATTTTTTCTACGTGTTATTCCGAACAAAAAATACTTAGATCGAAAAGAAATTCATATTAATGCTTTTTATACAGAATACGGCTTTTAAATGAAAATATATCTCCTGTATTTTTTTGTTTTTAACAAGAAAATATTCAAGATAAAGTTGCACTATTTTAAGGCGCACATTCATTGAAAGTGGAAAGAATTTTTTCAAAGTCATTTTTACAACATTTCAAAGTGAAAATGACTGAACTTTAATAATATTTTTGTTGATATTCTTATAAAATAATTAAAGCATAAAAATTAAAGTTTAATCACCTGAATTTCCTTCTAATTATTTAATCCAGAGAAAATTTTTTTCGGAACGAAACGTTTATTAAAGAGATTGAACTTCACGTTAAAATAGTAGGGATACCAGTCATTAGTCAAAATAGTAGGATTACAGTCAAACGAATAATCTGGCATTTATTGTGCGAGAATTAATATAAAATAAATTTGTAGAATAATTTTGTATGATAAATTATATGATTGACGTATATTCGAAGGAATTGCGGTTCATTCAAATCGTTCGAGAGTTTGCATTTGAATTGCTTTCTCAGTCTCTCCTACAGATCATCGTTTTTTGCTCGACATAAGTCAGTATTATTTCTTTTAAGAATCAGCCGTATACATCCCGTGTTCATGCATCTACTACCACGTGGATTCTGTAGTACACTACGGAATTACTGCTATAACTTTGTCAAGAATTTAATAACATATTTGAACATATTTTATTGTTAAGTTTTATACGAATTCAAAGTTTAAAGCGCGCCGCTTTAAGATAGAGGGTGTAAATGCTTGCCCTCTATTGATGCTTACGTCAGCCAATAGGAAAGCGGGTAGAGAAGAATTTGGCGGGACATGTCATCAGTCCGCTATCGGAAATCAAGATTCGTTTGACAGGTGAATTTCGTTAGTGCATAGCACTTATTATCATTCTACTACCTTCTACTGCTTCCTATTATCAGGTTTAATTAATATATTATTATTTAATACATTTTTAAGTAGTGTCATAATGATATTCAATAATTTTACGAACTTTGTTTTTTTAGCTCTTTACATAGGTTAACTACGTATTGTTAGATTTATCAGTATCACATCAAGAGTTTTTGAGGCAGAATTTGAGTTTATTTAATGTATTATTTCGATTTTATTGATTCTAACCTCAAGTGTTTGGTTTTCATTTGTACATTTCTGATTGGATGCTGAAATCACTTTGAAAGAACATCTCGATCATTGCTATGTAAATTTAGTATGTTAGTAACATTTGATTAATTATTTCATTCATATTATTTTATAAATGATCACTGATTTTATCTGAAGATTGAGCAGCGAAAAAAGCTATTATGTTGAACCTTCATCGTGTGTACATCGATTAAACTTTCAAAGAATTTTAAATAATATTTCTGAATATTTTAATTGTTTATACAGTATCTAATATTTAAAGAATGTTAAAAATGTCGAAAGTGACTGTGATAAAAGTGAGTTAAAAGTGAAATTGAGGACTGTGTTCAAATGCATATTGCTGAAGAAAGTTTGAGAAGCAAAAACATAATGTCCGGTCTATGCAAATTAATCAATGATAGTATGCAACAGAGCAGCAATAGCAATTAGTTTCAGCGTTTCACCGCTACGAGGCAATAGTGTTTCAATATCCATATATCGATAAATTTGAATCTTCATGAATCGATTAAATTGGAATCGAGAAAATTTTGGTGTCCACGAATTAAATGATAAACGGATAAAATTGAAATAGAAATTGAATTTAGTAAATTGAATGTTTTGAAGTCTGAACTGATTAAATTGGAATATTTCGGTGTTCTAAAGTTGAGCAAGTTGATTTTCGATGTCCATAAATCGATCAAATCATTGCCCACGTGCAACGTATTCAAGGAAAGGGTATCCCACGTGAACAAAAACAAATTAAAAAGAAAGAAATCCATATCTTTAGAAGATATAATAAACTATACCAAAAAAATAGCATCGGAAGTCCGAACAACATAAAAAAAGTTTGCTGTATCCATTTATGCATGAAGAAACAGTAGAAGTAGAAGTTAGAATTAAAAATGAACATAAGAAGGAAACACAAAATTAGAACCTAATGTTAATAGTCGAAATAAAAATAAACTCTCTCGAAGATCACAGTCATGAAAGCCAGGCACTTCGGATGTCTCATTTACAAACAAAATTCAAACGCGTTTATCAGTTTAGATGGAATTCATTCCAAGGCACAAAATAGAGAAGAGAGGACTAATCAAAGGAATACAAACTGACATAGATATGACGGAAATAGTTAATGAATCATTTAATTCTGCAAAATTCTGAATGCCATAAGATTGAACAAAAAGACTCAAATTGCCTCAAAAGAAAACAAATAAGATATCCATGGCAAAACTATGTTTATGACATTTGGAAGTAACATCCTACCAGAGTATTTCAAAATTTTCGACCTTTATATTATAACAATTAATAAATAAAATAATAAGTAACATAATAAATATGTTATGACAATTAATAAATACCACATAATAAAAATACTACAAATATTTGAAAAATATATTCATAGAAATATAACATGGAAATGCTCTCAAACCTAACATGCAATCTCACCAACTATACAACAGAATTTGAACAACCAGTGATAATCGAAAATCACAACTTAATTATACATCCAACTTCAGCTGCGAATAGTATCTCCCAAGACTTAGTGAGTAATCAATGAACATATAATAATATACACGGATGATTTTAAATCTATAAACACCTGTCATTAATTGGAGCAATATGCATAATTCCAAAGAACAAATTAAGTATTACAAAATCTATGATAAAACTAGTATCTGTCTATTTCAGAATGCCTGGCAGTAAAAATAACTATGCCAATAAAGATCCTACAAATTTATTCCTACGTAATATAAATTCGCTGAATCTTGTGCAATAAAATCTGTCCCTCTCTAATCGAATAAATAGATATGTAACAAATATCAAAAAAGAACTGCAGCAGTTCAGAGCAAACATGACAAAAAACTCTATTTCCATGATATGGATTCCAGCTTATGTTGCAATAGAAGTCGCAGACAAGTAAGCAAAGGCAGCATCAGCACAAACAATTGCTCAACATATATACTGATCCCACTGCACATAAGTTATAAAGCAAAAAATTCAATCTCAAACTAAAGAAAAGTGGAAAACACAAGGCAGAGTATCAAGTGGTAAGTATTTTTGATAGTACTACAAAAGGTTTTACAAAGGAATATTCATACACATGACAGTATGGGTTAACAGAGCAAAAGCTGATTATTACAGTTCCTCACTGGCCAAGATTAGATTAGCTCAGGATGCCTCATGTAATTGTGGTCACACAATGTAAGACTTTGATCATATAATTTAGTTCTACCCAAACTCAAATAACCAATTAAAAAAATATTATTCATAATCAAAAAATTCTTAATAGACCTTAATCAAGCTGTTTCAAATCATAGATAGTTTCCTAAAAATTAATAACATAACATTTCTATTTTTTTCTGCACACACACACACACAGTATATATATATATATATATATATATATATATATATATATATA